CCTGCATATTTAGTCACACTGGTATTAGTTGCAGAGAGCTTATTTTCATCAATCAAATCATCAATACGTGCCTCCGTGTCATCTTTTTTATTTTTTGTTTTAGTGATGGCCCCACATATGGATAAAACTGTTGAACAAATAAAAAAAAAAAAACGGGTTAGATTTTCTTTTCTTCTTATCCTGTTGCAAAAGTTGACAACTAATTAGTTTCCTTTATTTTTATTCATCAGAGAAACTGTCACCCTTAATTTATATTTTTTTTATAATCAAAATCACATTCTCTTATTTTTAATTAAATTTCACACTTTCAATAAAGTAATTACCTACTTTCAAACTAATTCTATCTTTTCATATTTCTCTCTCTTAAACATCCTATAATAAATATAAAATCACTATTAATAGAAGTACTTTTGAAAAAAAAGTAATGATTACACCTCAAAAGACTAAAAATATCTTACATTTTTTTAATATCCAACTCATTAAAAAATACTTTATATTTTTTAACGGAGAGAGTATATTTTAACAAGTATTTATTATAAATTTTTTAAATTACCTCTCATAATTTATATTAGCAAGCAATAATTAATGCATAGATTAACACAAAGTATTTTAATCTAATTTTTTATTTTCAAATATAATTATTATAGCTAACCGATTTTCTTAAAAACTATGTGATATAATTTTTCTCTCTCATACTCTCTCTATCCTTATATATAAAGTGTTTTTAATTGAATAACACATACTAGTAAAATTTATTATTTAATTAAAATATCATTAAATCTAAGTAATTTTTCAATTTTGTCCCAAATTTTGTCAATTAAAATATCATGTTAGTGTTGGATAAAACACACAATTAATATTTCATTTTTTTTCAATATAAGGACAAAATTATTTAATTGCTCAAAAATATCATGAGACCTAAAGATAGAATAAGCTTCTAAAAAATAATTTATATATAGAGAATTAGGAAGTATATAGAAGTGGAGGGGTACTACTCCTTTAGCAAAAAAATGTAGAGCATTTTTAAAAAATCTCACCTCTTAATTTTTAAACTAATATCATTTTTTTCATATTTATTCTTATTTAATAAAATGTTTTACTTTAAAATAAATATAAAAGTGATTTATGTATTATGATACTTTTGAAAAAATATTAATTACATCTTGAAATACTAAAAATGTCTAACATTTTTTAATATTCAACTCCTCAAAAAAAATATCTTACATTGTTTAAGAAAGGAAGGATATTTTAATATTAGGGATAAATTATATAAGTTATGTGAAAATAACTTCTCTAATACAATGAAAACCCCTAAATCCATACATGGATGCAAATATCTGCGGTGCTGTTAATTTGCATGTTATTTCATTAAAATGATATAATATATATAGAGGGTTTATTTGCATATAATTCAAAATTTAAAAGGATTACATATAACCTAAAATTTGAAAAAGTTATGCTGTCTACATTAAAAAACAAAAATTTAAGAAAGTATTTGATCGGTAACATATTATGCTCTATTAGTAAAATAATAGAATAATTTTTTGATGAGAGGAATATAATTCTGTCACCTTTCTTCCAAATATAATATATAGATATATATATATAATTTTGCATCAATTGATCTCAATTATAAGAGATTTGACCTGAAATGATGCTATTTGATTTAAAAAAAAAAACACACACCCACACACTTCCCAAATAATTTCCATTAAATTATTCAACGGAATAAACAATGGCAAGCAAAATAAAGAACTTTTTCTTTGGTAATAAAATAAACTTTTAATGAATAATCAGGCACGTCCAATGCAATCAGATAATATACAAGTAAAGAACTTTAAAAAGTTCATAGCACAGCAAAGCCCACTCACCGTTATCTGGCCACGAAAATATCAGTGTACAGTGCTAAGTTAAGCAGAATAGACACATGTCAACCTAAAGCAGACACTAACTCGTGGTTCAAATTACTTGCATTGAATCGAAGTGTTCCTATCACCTGTTCATTAAAGTCTGTAAATTCTTGTGTATGGTTACTGATAAAGCGGCTTGTGTCTGTGATGGTGTGGCAAACAATGTGTAACACAGCATCGCAACAAGTGGCTTCCACAATCCCTGACGACATAAAAAGCTGTAGGAGAAAAGCCAAACCTCAGGAAGCCGTTCTTTTGCTCTCTATAAAGTTAGGCAGTGATGTCACATCAACGTCGCTCAGCATTGATTGGTGTATTTGCAACCTTCAATTTCCTCTCAGTAAAAGCTTTGTTGGTGAATGTCTTGGGAATCAACCTCCAAATCCTGAGTTCAGTCAAACTCGGTTACTGTGAAGTATATGGTGTATGTAAACCCCTGGCATGTTGGCTCTCCATCTCAAGATGCATCAAGGATTTGTGTCTTTGATATCGGCTTCTCTTGCCGGCTAATGCTGCGAAAGAAGACATAAAACACATGTAAGCAAAGAATCTTTTGGCGTATAATTTTTAACCAGACATTCCTGTGTTCACTCAGTCAACGTGACATACGCTTACTAATTAGTACCTAAAATCATTCAATAAACTGAGTTGTAACAAATATTATTGACTCCAACTATTTGTGAATAGAATCTATAGATAACACCGCAAAATTAGACCGAGAAAAGATCATTTCTAACAAGATTGAAGCTTGTGGCACCTATGACGATTACGCACAAAAACAGAATAAAAGGATTGACTCTAAATTGCCGCCATGTCTGAAAATTGTCCCAAGTTTTAGATTGAAAAATTGAAATTATTGGTGATACTCGAATTGAGTAGCATTCAGCAGCTGGAGAATTTTGAACCGATGAGCATATGGTTCCATCACAAGTAAATGGATTGAATACAGCCCATTTAGAGAAATCCAAATAAATGCAACAGTGACATTACTAAGAACTATTGCAAATAGGTTTTGATAAAACATGAACGGTAGGTTTAACCAAGGATATTCATCAAAAGGTACAGGGCAATATTAACGGGCTTTGCACATTCCACAGGAGCCATATTTTGAATTACTAATTTGACCAGATTACATAGATCAGTTTCACAAACAAGAAAGGGAAGCATAAATATGGCAGGAGCCAATAGTCTGCTAAAGAAGTATGGAAAAAAGAAAAAATCTTATATATGGAAATTCCGATTCATGTATCTAAACTATAACAGTGAGATTCTCGTAGACAAATTTTTCAAGTGCTTTAAACTGAAGTTGCAAGATGCCACCTTCAACACAGAATAATACAGATTCGCTCATGGTGAAGAAAAGCTGTGATAAAGACCTTTTGCAATATGCTTTTGTCAATAGAGAAGTGAAAATTTTAAAATACAAAATATATTCTGCATAAAAAAGCCAATTGTCTAGGTTTAAAGTTATAATTTTCCTAATATGCATAAAGTATATTGAGATCAATGTAAATAGTAACATAAGGAAAATCTCCCACACAGATAATAATACTACCAAATATACTTGAAACAACAAAAATGGCTTGCCAGAAATGAAGCCATACTTACACATCAATTCATGGGGAAGACCAAAATCATATTCGTTCCTTCTCCTCCTGACATAAATATATACCAGCACCAGTACCGCACAGAAAACAAAAAGGCATGACAAGCCTATTGCAATCTTGCCCCAAGTAGATAGTCTTCCATTCTTCCACAACAAAGGACATGCTGGCAGAGATGGCACACCACACAAACCTTTGTTGCCAGAGAGACTGATAAAAAAATATATTTATCATCCGAATTATTAATTAGCTATTACAAAGGACTACAACTTTGACAGAAGAAAACTATCCTATGGTTGCACCAAAATATATGTATGTATATATATAAATATATATCCTTTGGCGAAATGCTATTTTTGCACCCATTACAACAACAACAACAAGCCTTTATCCCACTAGGTGGGATCGGCTACATGGATTGCAAGACGCCATTGTGCTCTATCATTTATCAAGCTTTTACAAACCTAACAAAATACAAACAGGTCTGACAAAATTGCATTGGACACCTGATTTGTGCCACTTTATGGTGAAATGAAACTACACGCTCAGTAAAACAAAAAATAATAGCAGAGGTAAGTTTTTTATGTCGTCATTCGATTAAGAATATTGAGCATTAGGTGGGACAGTTTTCATAAATCATCCAAATTTTACTTCAGTTTTTCAGAAATATACAAATTGAATAACCTTTACATGAGAAAAGGTGGGTACTAAAATCCACAATGGACAGAGAAGAGGCAGAATGACTTTTATGTAATAACATGCATCAGTTCTCCTTCAGCATTCAAGCTGAGAAGGATGACACAGTGAGCTTGCATGGGACTTTTGTGGCTCTACTTGCACTTAATTTAGACGGAAAGACAAGTAGAATGGTCAACCAGATAGGGATATCATCCAAGAAAAGATAAATTAACCAATATTCCATCTGAACATAGTGTCATGGAGAAACTCGGGTTAAAGTGACATACTCAAAAGCTCCCCCATGCACACCAATTGAATAAAGTCCTTCTGGCACTTGTCCTTCCAAAAAGTTATCATTCAATAGCCTGGCAAGATAAAATGGATTAGAAAACAAACACCAAAGTAATACTGTACTACAGGTTAGTATATATACTCAATCTATCCATGTAAGAGGGAGGAGATACGTAAAAAAGTCTCATCTTTGAATTCCGAACACTACAAATCCTAGAAAACTGCTAATGTAACAGCTTCATCGGGACTGTTTTAACCCAGGTTTTACTCCATAAATCAGAAAATCTAAATGTCATCCTTTGCTCTCTTTGACCATCATCTAGTTATTGATCTCAAGAAACCAAACTTATTACGCATAAGAAAAGGACAGGTTGCAGTTAATTCATCAGTTATTTGGGTTTTGTACACACTGCTCACCCAAAGCTTAACAAGTGTCATTTGAACCACCAGAAGTTTGCTTCTTCATAGCTCAACTGTCCAAACCTTCATGTGATTCGAGGCTTGTTCAATTTCCTAATATCTGTTTTTAGATTTTTCTTCACGTACCACTCCCTTCTAGAGCATCTACCACCACGTGCCAACATGTGAGGGCAAGTCTGATGTTAGCGGTACGCTGACATGCTCAGAAAAGGCCAACAGAATCCTAACCTTGATAATCGAGTTAAATAGTGAAGATTTTCAGAAGATGACAGAAAATTCCCGTTTTATTGTTGCAAGAGCAGAAATCTCAAAGTTTGCAAAAGTATATTCTCATTTTCAATGTGCCACCCCCAAGGATAAAAGTGGTTGCGCTCGTAATATTGAGAATTCTGCCCGTGCTACCCAATTATCATTATTGGCAAACGAATAGTAGGCAGACCAGTTCATGCAACAAATGCATGTATTCTGTCTTGCCCCCAGAATCTTCAGAACCATCAAACAATGGCATACAAAATAAATAAATAAATAAGAATTTCTAAGGAGGAATATTTTAAGCTTCTTGACATGGCATATTCCTCAGATTTTCTACAATAATATGTCTATTAGAAAACTAGCAAAGAATCTCACTTGTTCCATCGTCTTTCTTCCCAACTCTGATAATTTAGGATTTAATGACAAAGAAGAATATGGGTAGAGACTTTGGATATGTGCTTTGGTCTTCACCACAAAAAATGGCTACGCTCAGGTCTATGTTCTGGACTGTTCTAAGAGCTTCTTACTTGTAGCCAAGATAACCTCAGTGCATCTCTTCATCTCTGCGGTTTCAACCTTCAAGTGGCCTTTACATAAGTAAGATATTAAGAATGCTTTCCTCCATGAAGATCTTCAAGAAGAGGTCTAAATGAAGCAACTGATGGGGTTTGTTTCTCCAAGGAGAGTAAAGTGATGTGCAGCTTAAATAAGTCAGTACATGGTTTAATTCAGCCTTGGGCATGGTTTAGCAGGTTTAGTAAACTAGTTACACCCTTGGAGCTTCAACGGTGCCGAGGGGATCACTTTATTTTATAATTATAGTCCTATTTGGAGAAATATATCAATTTCTTATGTTGAGGATATTGTGTTTTAGAAGATGATGGCCAAGAATCTACCAACTTAAAACTGCCTCTTCAACATAATTTTCAAACCTAAGGTTTGGATTGTGGAAGTACTTTCTTGGCATTGAGGTGCGTAGGTCATATTTATCTCATTAGTCATCTTATATTCTTATCTCCAGGAGTTAGTTTCACTATCAAGTTTTGATAATTTCAATAGTATAAATAAAGGATGGCACAGAGATGAAGAAAGTTTCTCCCCTGTCCCTTCAGTTCCCAAGTTTTGTGCAATGTGAATATTTTACACACGACAATTTTTGAGATTTTAATGAAATATCAAAACGTTTAAGAAAAGCGTATTCAAGCAAATTTCAGAACTAGATGCCAATCATGACATGTTTGTGCCTTTATTGACAGAGAGAGAAATAATAGATAACAAAATGGACACTTACACAAGCTGCAAACTTGAAGAGGCTAAACTGTCTGGTATGGAACCTGTTAACTCATTGTTGGACAAATCCCTAGAGCATACATTATAAGAAAATAAGTTAAGTATTGCATAATAACAAGGTCGTTCTCCTCTATCAACAAGTAACTCTGCTATTTATATAGCATGAGTTGCGGCTGACATGTAATTGTGCAAGAAAGATATAAGGAAATATCACAATTTTTCAGAGTAGTGGCGAATTCATTGTAAGAATTTTAATTATAACTCCTCAGTAAATTATTAAAAATAACTTCAGTGCATAAAGATATTGAAAATTGATCGTCATTCATTGAAGAAAGATCCACAAAGTTGAGTTTTGTGAATTTGCCCGAAAGACTGGGTAACGACTATACCATCAGTAATACTTACACGCGTATCAGGGATTTTTGCCCGAACCCAGAAGGTATGGAACCCCGCAGAGAATTAGAACTTAAGTTCCTGCAATTTTTTAGAGAGATTACTCGATAATTGAAAGTTCACAAAGACTTGATTAATGATAGAGTATAATGGCACCATGCAATCCATGCAATCGACCCCATCTAGTGAGATAAGACTTGTTGCTGTTGTTATTGTATTACTAGATACTTGAAAACAATATAAATATGGCAAAAAATTGGTATAGAAGGCAACATGGTGCCTGAAAACATATTATAATGAACAATGATCTTCTACAGAAGATTTAACGTGGATCCATAATTTTGACCAGCTGGATTTAGAGAGAAATGCTTTATAGATAATGAATGTGGATAAATGATCATGGATACCACTGAGAGAGAAAAGCAAACCAAATGAAAACGTTTTAAGGACAACAAGTTAAGGCAAGGCTAACTATAACACTATTACCTTCTCGTGCATGTTATAGTGCTAATCAGGCATTGACGATCCAATCAACATAGTTGAGAGAATTTTAAATTTTAAGTTAAATAATGTAGCCACCAAATGAGAGAACAAGGCTAATTGAAACTTGAAAGAATCAAAACCCATCAATTTGAGAATGAACATTGCTGTTGTTGTAATTCAAGGAACAGGTAAGGAAAACAAGGAAGGAGAGTACAAGGAGAACCGCTGGTTCTAACTACTGCTTAAATCACATACACCAAAGACGCTAGAAAACTTTTAACCCAAAAAACAAATCTGGACTTGACATATTTCATACTAAAGAGTGGTGTAATGATAGCCTTAACATGTATAAGCCGTATAATGATTAATGAAACATGTCTGGCATTAAAATATACAAACTTCTGGCAGCTGATACTTACAGGCTTACCAAGTCTGTCAAAAGACTAATCTGGTCACTTATATACCCTTTTAAGCCTTGACTGCCAAGATCTCTGTAGTTATCATTAAAATAAAGATAAAATCAAAGCCATAGAAAAGGAATTATAAATTAAAGAAACAAATTGAATCTTCTGCCTTTTCTTCCATTTTCTTTTTGTGGATCAGTCATTTTTGTATGCATTAGTAATAGCAGTTTCACCCACAATCCTCCGTCTAGCTTCTTCACACCCGCCAAAAAAATAAAAAATAATAATAAAAAAAATGTTTTTATACTAGCTGCAAATAAAAATATGATTCACAAATTTAAATAAATAAATAATTTTCACAATCTTTCTTGCTGAATGTCATACAACCAGCTATGATGATTACTTTTATTCCCTACCGCATATATATTCGGTGAGTGGAACCTGACCTCCATCGTTAATCTTTCACATTAAGTATGCCGCATCATTTAGTAAGATTTCACATTAAGAGTCATCGTGCACGTTGCATCATTCCTCTCCCGAAATTCAACTTAAAAATGTAAATAATAAATTTAAAGAAGCGTAAGACATGCTTACATTTCACTTATCACGAGGGCGGCATGATTCTTATTAATGCGGCAGGTGACACCCTCCCAAGCATCCCAATTAGTAGGAGCACAAGGATCACCATTCCAACCCATTCTATCAGGAACACGAAGTGACTCTTTCAATGCCTTCATGGCGATTACTGCAAAAGGGTCCCCAGTTAACAACCACGATTATTGGGTTTTATCTTTAGCCAGCAAAATCTTATATTACGAAAAAAGTAATTTCATTAACCATTACATTAGCATTGTATCCCTAACTTTCGGTTTCCTCCCTAATTATCTTTCCATTGACGTAATAACAACTTACAAGTACACGATTAATTTCAGATGCCAAAGAAGAAAACTCGTATTTCTTTTTAGTAAACGCAACTAAACCTGTCTATCGTATGTGCATCAACAGTTCAGCGACGTACCTTGTTGCTGCATGGTTGAAGGATCAATGGGTACCAAAGCATAATTTTCAAGCCCACTAATCAGAGGGGCACCTACTGCAGCCACAAGCTTCACAGTCAACACACTGCTGCTCAAATTCCTCATTATATAATGCCAAGTAAAGGCAGCAAAGCTTCCCACCTGCTTGTATATGTCAACTCTAGTAACATTCTTGCCATTGATCAACACATCGAACACCCTCTCCCCGGCCTTCTTCACACTCGAATCAATTTCCGCAAAATGCAACCATACCAAGTAATCTAACTTCGCATCCACATTCAAATTGTACTCCAACACACCATCTTCTCCCCCAACCGTCACCGCCGCCTGGTACAACTTCATCGGAAAATAATTGGGCTTCTGTTCAGTTCCGCTTATGGTGTTCCTCGTGGATACAGCTCTAACACCGTCACGGTTGCGGTGACTCGATGCACCAAAATTTGATCGGAATTCGGAATCGGACTGCCATGACCGACCAAAGAGATCAGTGTCATTGCTGAATCCAGGACCCCATTGATCAGTCCCGCAAGATAACCTCCCGTAATTGACGAGAACATGCTTATTTCCAGTGCTCGTCGAATCGTAAGACAAAGGATCGACATGTAGGAGTTCGAGAGAAGAGATTACCGGAGGATCAGTGGCCAAGCTGTAAAAGCAAACATCAGCCTCACCGTCTGTGACATAGGCAAACAGATCAGAATACGCACCCCCTGCAGCTATGGATTCTGGCCAGGGGGAGCGCCAGCTGAAGACAACGGTGCCCTCGACGGCGACATCAAAAGAAGGAGTGTGAGACTTGCCATCGTAGTTGTCGTAAACGACGAACGTGCGGAGAAAGTACCGACCGGAGGGCAGAGAAGGGAGGATGTAGCAGTTCTTCTTGCCATGAGAGACGGGAAAGAAGCGAAGGGTCTTCTCGTAGGGGTAGTGGAATCGGAGTGGCTCGGATACGACAGAGGAGGCGCCGCCGGTGAAGAAGCGGTCGGAGAGCCAGGTGGTATTGAAGGGGTCACTGGTGTTGGTGGGACTACCACAGTCAATGTGGTAAGAAAAACCTGTGAGAAAAGAAGGATAAGGAAACAGAAAGCAAGAATTAGGTGCGGAGACAAGCTAAATGGGGAAAGTGATTGAATTATTAATAAGATTACGTAAACGCGCAGAGATGAAAGGTTACCGTAGGGGTACGGTGTAGAGAAGGAGGAGGAGGAGGGGGAGGAGGCGGCGGCGGCGGTGGCGGCGATGAAGGCGAAGGCGAAGAAGGAGAGTGACATTATCGCTGCAGTGGACTGGGGATTGATGTGGTGGGAGGGTGAGTGATCTGAAATAAAAAGGAGGGAAAGATGGGGTCAAACGGAGAAGAAAAGAGAGAATGAATTTGAAGTTTTGAACAGATCGGCATATAAATGGACCTTTCACTTCACGTGGGAGTGAGTGGGACTAATAAGGCAATGTTCACCCGTGAGTTTTTTTTTTTTTTTCTTTTTTTAATAATAATAATAATTAAATTATATTCCATCCGATTCATTTTATATATATATAAACATTTTTCAACAAAACAAATCATTTGTCCGTTTTGACTAAGTTTTAATTCAATCTTAACATTTGTCTTAGTTGATTCAATTATAATTCAATTTTTAAATTTTAATTTAACATAATTTAATTTTTATAATTTTAATAGTTTAAAATATTAATTTTTATATTTTATAAAATAAAATTAAAATTGTATTTAATTTTATTCTTTATAATATCTATAAAAATGTAAAGTTTTAGTAATTTAAATTAATCTAGGTTTTATAGTTTTTAGAATCAATGTTATATATGGTGTTCTTTTAATTAAAATGAAATTCATTACAATGGTTTAAAACTAGAGCTATAGAAAAAACTAACTCAATAAGATTTCAACCTAACCTAAAGTCTAGTCCTTTTTATGAAAATGACTGAATTAAACAACCCATAGTCTGATCTTAGTATAAGACAAAGTCAAACAGGACCGGATTGATCCAATAGAACTAAGTGTGCGTTTGATTTTCAGTTTGTCAAAAGTTCATTTAATGAAAGTCCATTTGGTAAAAGTCAATTTGATGAAAGTCAGTTATTATAACAAAATTTGTGTTTGGATATATTTTTTTAAAAGTCAGTTTGATACATTAAAAGTTGTTTGGTTTATAATAGTAAAATGTGCTTTTGAATATACAATTACTAAAAAGGACATTGATTTATAATGATTTATAATTTTTATTATACAAATATAATATATTTAAAATATTTTAAAAAATATAATAAAGATTTTTAATAATATAAATTTTGATCTATAATACTAAAAATTTAATCTCTAGTTATTTGTATTTTTTAATTTGTAATTGTAAAAGATGTAATAAAGATTTGTAATTTTTATTATACATTAATGCTAAAATTAACATGATTAATTACTCAATTTATAATACTAAAAAAATTGATACCTAATTATTGTTATTAAAATAATAATTATATTTTTAATGAATTAACTATTTTTTAAATAAAAGAATAAGAGATTAAACTTATGGTAGTATGGTCAAATAACATCCTACTTTTTAAATTCACTTTTCAAAAGCTTCAAATAGTTACGTTTCGGAAATTCACTTTCAATTACTGTTTAAATGTACTTTCAGGATGTGCTTTCCTGCAAAATGTTTTACTCAAACAATTTTTAAATTTCTGAAAGTAAAATTTTACTTTTTGAACGTGAAACGGAGGATAACCAAATGGACCTTAAGAGACTGGTCCCTGCCTTGTCCAGCATCTCAATTTATTTTTTCTTCTTTTTCATTTATGAGAGAGAGCAATTTATTTCAATATAATAAACTCAATTAACATAATAAAATTAATTATAGTCATATAAAATTTATCACAACAACAACAATTATAAATCCATAACAATCTCCAACAATAACAACAATTATCTCCAACAATGACAACAATTATTTCAGTTACAATAAACGATTCAAATTAAACAACCTTCAATAATATTAAATAATCTTTAACATGTCTAAAGTCCATTATACTAAATTAACAACAAATTTTATTAATAAAAGAAGAAGATTGAGGTTGGTCAATGCTAAAATCTTACTCAATATTTATGATTTCACAAATATAAAACACAAAAAAAAATACTAACTATTATTAAAAATTACTCCCTCTATTCAAAAATGTAAGACATTTTTAATCGAATTTCACTTTTCAATAAAGTAGTTACCTACTTTCAAACTAACCCTATCTTTTTATATTTACCTCTCTTAAACACCCTATAATAAATATAAAGTTAATATTAATAGGGGCACTTTTGAAAAAAAGATAATGATTACACCTTAAAAGACTAAAAATGCCTTATATTTTTTAACATCCAACTTTTTAAAAATTTTTTTATATTTTTGAACAGAGTGAGTAACTTATTATAGTTATAATTAATAAATTAATTATAATTATATTAAATAAGTTTATAGGACCAGACCAAGTGATTGATATACTCAGTCTCTTATCCAGCTCAACTCTAAAATAGAGTCTTGAAAGATCAAATTGGGTTTGTCTCGAATTAAGCCGGATCAAACTGGATGGAAACTTTTGGATAGCCCTATTTAAAACTTCTTGAAGTTAATTTTCAAGGTACGGACTCACAAAGTCATGAAAGGTGGACAATGATGTCCCCTTTTTTATTTTTTTAAGAAAAATACCGACTTGTATTCAGAGTAAAAAGATTTAAAAAAAAAACAACGTCGAAGAGTCAAAATAATGACATGAGAGCTAAAGGAGATAGACGGGGAAGTATTATCACAAAAACACAATTGACAAAATGCTTTAAGAGGGAATTGATTTCCCACTGCATAATGCTTAGATTTGCACTATTTTGATTCCCGACTCTAACAGAGGGCCTCTTGTTAAAGCAAATTTTAAGAGAGCATTATTGATCCTCAAATCTTCCAATTGCTTAGTCAAAATTTCTAACCCAAATTAACAAGCTTCTAATACATGATTCCGCGAATGGATCAGGTGGCAAAAAAGCATATTTTCAAAACATTAAACTTTGGATTTCTTGTTCATTAAAAAAGATACAACCATGACACTAAGTTATCCTTTTCCTTTTGAATTTCCAAATCTTAACCTCCCATTTTAGCATTGAGTTTACGGATCTTGGGTAAATTGAAGACATGTTTAAAAGAAAGGTTTTGTTACTAAATTCGGGAGGAGTGCCTGCTTGAATGTTTAAATTCCCAACTACATGTAGTTTGGAGGAAATTGTAATTTTTCTTAAACTCCTTGTTGACTTGCTTCACTAAGCATTTGGCTCCAATGTCAATCAGAAAATTTGTTAGCCAAATAAGATGAAACAAGTTGAAGAATGCTCTTCAAGGTGATTAAATTTTGCTTGATAAAGAAAGTCTTAAAGGTCCTTAAAATCTAATTTATCATAACATAGTCAGATATATCCATTGAGCAAATAGATAAAGCTCCAAACCAAACAATTCTAAAAAAGGGACAATCACAAAAAATGCAGGTTAAAGCGTGCAAATGGATAAAGCTCTAAATTAGATAGCTTTGGAAAAGACACAGTCTCATTTTTTATTGAGGGATATATACTTTGAAATCTTTCGAATAGGAGTAGTTGCTTAGACAAAAGGAAAATAAATAGATAGATGAGAGTAGTTGCTAAAATAAATTAATATGAAATATATAATCTTCAAATAAAAGTACCTGCATAAAAATGATTATATAGGTTCAATAATGCTTGGGACTCTAAACCTCCTTTTTTTTCGCAATGTTCTCCATCAATGTTTAAAAACAATGCAATATAATTTTTACCATTGACAAAAGTTAACTTTAGTCGTTAGTTAATTAAAAAATAATTAAAAACAACCTCAAAAATTGTAGAAAAACCAAGAAAATTTTCTTAATCCTTTTGTATAATTTTTGGTTCCTTCTGTGTAATTTTCTATCTTTTTTGTAATTTTCTTAATTTTTTTATCATTTTCGAATCAATTAACTATTAAAATTAATTTTTATTAATGATAGAAAATGCATTGCATGATTTTCAAAGTTAAGAAAGAATATTGTGCAAAAAATAAGTTCACAGTTTTAAACATTTTTGGGTCTATAATTTAAAATTTAAATTGTCCTTTAATCTGAAAAAAAAAAAACTATCAATTCTTTTGAATAAATCATTAGATGGATTATATGATTTACTTGTTTTATTAATTTATCATTTATTTTGTTCCTTGTTCGATTCAACAAGGAGAAAATTTTTGAGATCTCTTCAACATAATGAACAAAATTGTTTTAAGTTAGATTATCCTAATTGAATCATTAATAAAACTAACTTAGTTCACAATCAGAGATTGAGTTTAACAATCAGAGATTGAGTTTAATAGAAATTATTAATATCTCTCATTGTAATAAATCAATATTGAAATTCTTGTTAGAAAAAATGTTTCCATTTAACTGCTTAACCATGCTTGAATGTGATTGTTTCCAACTAAATGACACGAATTAACTCATTTCATAAATAATTAACTCTAAATCAGGCATAATGATGATGATTAAGGAGTGAGTTCAATGAAGAGCAAAATTGGCAAACATCTGCGTAATCTCATTTCATGGGCTTCATTTGTTTCTTAATGCAAATTAGGAATAATTATTAGTAGTATTAGGTAGTAGATTTTTCAAAATAAGTTGATCTATCCTTTTCCAATGATGATTGACAGTGATAGAACATCTAATAGCGTCAAATAATTTAATCCCCAAAATAACAACAATAATAATGAAAAGAAAACATCTAACAGAAATGGAAACAAAAAGGCGGTAACTACTGTAACTACTCAAGTTGAAATATAACTAACGTAGTTGAATTTGTTGGGAGTAGTTGATGACAGGGCGATAATCATTGGTTTTATCAGCTCCGTGGACAATGCTCACTTCTTTTTTTTTTTTTAAGGCACTTTTGATCAGATTTCTAAGATGCAATTTATAAGTTTTTTTCAAAAAAAAAAAATAATTATAGTGTAATTAATAAAAAATTTTAATGGATATAATATTAAATAAAAATAAATATAAAAATATGTAATTTTAAAAATAATTAATTAACTTATTAAAAGTATAATTTTGTTAAAATGTATTACAATACTAATACGGGGGAGTAATTTTTGAGACTTTCTACTTTCTATTGTCCTTGCATAATGCACTTCTAATTATTTTAATAAAATCAATTAAAGATGATCACGTTATTAACTTTATTTAAAAAAATAAATTTTTAATTTTACACTTATTTAAATAAAAAAATTCAAGTTGACATTTCATTATCTGTCGTAATTAATGAGTTTAAATAGAAAAAATATTAAAAAA